CCTTCCTACAGGAGGCTAATTTCCACTCTTCCTTCTGAGAGCTAACCCCAGACCCTCCTACAGTTGGATGATGTCTACCCTTCCCAAACTGGGCTATCTCCTGCTCACTCGTAGTGCAGTGGCTGTCTAGTATCCACGGCTGTGGAGGAACCTCTGTCTTTCTGGCAGGGACCATCTTTCCTGTGGTGACTCACCCCAACCCCACTGCAGTGATCTAACCTCCACCCTCCGATGTAGGCTAACCTGTGTCTCTGCTCTCCAGGAAGAGAGGCTGCCCAGGAAGGATGTGAAGTGCAGTTCACGCCTCTTCCCCAGGGCCTGGGACCTGAAGCAGCTGCAGGTGAGTGGGGGCTGGACCCAGCTGCCCACAGAGGCCTGCTCATCCGGGTGCTATGTGGGCCTCCATCCCTGCTGCTCTTCCTCAGCAGCCGTCCCATGACCTGTCCACAGGGTGAGCCCATTGGCTGTGGCTCCCCAGCTTTCCCCTGTCCTCTATGTCTCCAATGTCCCTTGTCCTGTCCACTGTCTTGTCCCCTTCACCTGTCTCCTTTGACCTCCCCACCTGCTCCCTCACGGGGTCTCTTCTGTCTCCTTGCTCAGGTCCAGGAGCGCCCCAAGGCCTTGCAGGCTGAGGTGGCCCTGACACTGGAGGTCTTGGGGAACATGACTGGCTCAGGCCTGCCCACCATCCTGGGCCAGCCTCTTCACACCCTGAGATACATCCACTCCCAGCTGCAGACCTGTGTGAGTCCTGGGTCCCTGGGTCCCTGGGTCCTCCGCACGGTGCCTCCAGTCACTAGGCTTCCCCTGAGTCCCAGCAGCAGCCTCACAGTCCCCATCCTCTGTCCACAGACACAGCCTCAGCCCACAGCAGAGCCCAGGCCCCCGAGCCGCCGCCTCTCCCGCTGGCTGCACAGGCTCCAGGAGGCCGAGAAGGTGAGTCTGTCAGGGCAGGGGACTGAGGTCTTCAGTGCCTGGGAGCTCTGAGGCCCAGCAGCCCCTGAGTCAGCCCTGTCCTTTCAGGAGACCCCTGGCTGCCTGGAGACCTCTGTCACCCACAACCTCTTTCGCCTGCTCACCCTGGACCTCAAGTGTGTGGCCAGCGGAGACCAGTGTGTCTGACCTGGAACCCTCCTGCCAGCTTCTGTGATTCTTCACTGTGTGCATGCACCAGGACCCCGCCTTAATTTATAGCTACTCATGCCTTTTTAAAGTATTTATTTATATGTGTGAGTCTCAGACTCAGACCCCACAAAATGTCTATTTTTTTACTTTGTAAACATTCTTCAAATAAACAATGATAAAGATCTCTGTGGTGTGTCACATCTGTGTGTGTGTGTGTTGTTGTCAAGTCTTGTTCTTTTACCCCCATGACAAAAGACCACAACTTCAGCTTGGCAGGGACACCCCTGCTTGCCCTGAACTCTGTGGTCTAGCCTGGGCTACTGCTTTTTTCCTCTAGGTGGATTGCAAATTGATTTTTTTTGGTGGTGGTGGTGGGGCTGGAATCTTCTTAGTGTGTTCTGGAAAAGTGTTTTTTCTCTGTGGTTTCAGATGTTGGCAGCAGGGTTCTGAATGTTCTCATTTGTTTCTGCTTTTGAGATGGCCTCTTTTAGCCCAGGCTGGCCTCTAATTTGCTATGTATTCTGATTACCTTAAATTCCACTTTCTCCTGTTGCCCCTCTGGGATGCTGGGCT